CCACAATGCTTTGCGTCAACCCCGTGTATTTCTCGTCCCGGCAGTTATTCTCACAGGCAAGGTGCCCGTTCTCCCTGTGCTGCCCGTAAGGCCCCTTTCTCTTGGGAAACACCCCCATAGAAGCAGGCCCCTCTCCTCCCTCTGGGACTGTGGGCGCTGCTGCATCCTGGCTGGGCCTGCCCTCCCTCCCTTGAGTGTTCTCAGCAGACTTCCCAAGAGGGCAGACCCACGGTTTCTGATTCTCTTACAAGCATGTCCTTTCGTCCTCAAGTGCCCACGCACCCACCCACCCATCATGCCCCCATGCGTACCAGGGAAAAAAACAAATGTGTGTGGAAAGAACACAAGTCTGATCCCCAATGAGGTGGCTGGTCAGATGCTTCAGTTATTCTTGCACATGCAGACCCCGCCAAAACATGGCGGCCCAAACCAACCATCGCTCATGTGTTTGCTCCCAGCTCTGAATTCACATGGGAGAGAGCTTCCCTCCCTTCCACGTGGCGTCGGCCTGCATGGCTCATGGAGCTGGAATCCAAACGGGTCTCCCTCGCATGTCTGGGGCCTCCCTTGGGGTGGCTGACACGGCTACGGGGCTGATGGCGCCTCTTTCTTTCTCTCTAAAGGCCCCTCTCTCCAGCAGAGCGATTGGGCTTCCTAGCAGTATGGCCGCTGGCTCCGAAGGCCTAGGTCTACACACCCTAGCATATCGCTGCCGCCACTTTCTCCTGGTGAAGGCAAGTCCTAAGGCCAGGCCAGCGTTGAAAAGAGGAAAGGGGGGCTCTGGTCCTGGATGGAGGGGAGTGGGGGTGAAGGGGCAGGGAGACAGCAAAAGGGGGGTGGGGAAGAAGCACACACTTGCACCCACCACAGTGGTCCGAGCACAGAAGCTGGCTCAGCATCACGATGGGTTCCCTCCCCTTGGGGGAGGCTAGCTGGGAGGAGAAGGGGCCAGGGCGAGACAGAGGGATTCCACAGTGGTGGCCAGCGGTGTCAGGCTGGGCAGAACAGAATCGAGAAGGAGCTCCGTATACCCCAGACCGGCAGGAGCTTTTGTGAGCCCCACAGTATGGGTGTGACCTGGGAAGGCCAGACAGACCCAAAAACTGAGCGCAGGGCCTTGCCGCCTTACCTGGGCCTTGGGACCTCCTCAGAGAAGGCTTGGGGTGGTGGTGGGGGGAGGGGGAGGAGGTCTTGCACAACGGGGCCACGCAGCATCTGCATTTTCTCCTTCTTTTCTCCGTCTATTTAAAGCCTCTTTCTCTCTTGCAAGGCCATGTGTTGCAATCTCTTCCGTGCTGAGGTTTCCGATCTTCCACTGACAAGCCCCAGCCCTCCGTGGCCTCCCTGAAGACATCTCGCCTCGCCTTGCTGGTGGGGATCTGGACGTCGGCCCTGGGTTTGGCCACCACCACATCCTCCCCCTGTCCCACTTCTCTGCTGCCTGTTTGTATTCCGTCTGAGATGATTCATTTTCATTTGTTGATGCCTTGCCCTCGCCTGGGGCAGCTGTGGCATGGTAGCGAGAGCACTCGAATTGGAGTCAGGAAAGCTGGTTTACATTCTGGCTTGGCCATTTACTGGCTGTGCATAAATTTGGACATGTTATTGACCCTCGTTGGGCTTCCTGCCTCCCATCTGCCAGGCCAGAATAATGAGCCCCATCCCCAGCGCGGCTGAAAGGAGAGGACGGTGCCTGGCATGGACTGGGACCCTCTGCTCCTAATCCCGAGCGGGGAATTCTGAGGCCCCTTCTCCTCGCTGAAACCCAAACCCCACTGCCATCCAGTCAATTCTGACTCCCAGCCACCCCGTTGGGCAGAGCGGAACGACTCCCCAGGATTTCCAAGGCCATGACTGTTTACGAGAGCAGAAAGCCTCGTCTTCTCCCGAGATGCCGTGCCGCTGGTGGGGTCAACCCGCTGGCCTTGTTACCAGTTCAAAGCATCGCCCATGAGGCCGCAGGGGTTCCTTTCTACTAGTTAAATGACAGCGACTCGCTGCCGACTTGTAGCCACGAGCACCAGGGTGGGACTGCTCCTGGTGGGTTTCTGAGACACTAACTCTTCACAAGAGTAGAAAGCCCTGGCTCCCATGGAGCCACTGGTGGTTTTGAACTGCTGGCCTGGTGGTTAGCAGCACAACAGACAAACGCTATGCCAGCCGGTCCCTCCACCAGCCACTCCCAGCAGTACCGGCCCTGCGCCATCGGCACCACTGCTCTGTGTGAGCTCACTCTTTCAGCCACCACGTCAGTCAAGTTCACTGAGATCAGTCTTCCTCGCTTGACCAAGAACGATGTCCTTCTCCAGGGACTGGTCTCTCCTGGTAACGGGTCCCAAGGATGTGAGACAAATCTCACCCTGCTCGCTTTTAAGGAGCATTCTGGCTGTACTACTTTCCGGAGAGCTTCGTTTGTTCCCCTGACTGTCCATGGTAGATCCAATGCGCTTTGTCAAAACCACCCTTCAACGCCATCCATTCCTCTTCAGTCTCTCTTGTCCGCTGCCCAATCCTCCCGTGCACATGAGGCGATTGGCCATGCACTGGACTCCTCGGTGTGGCACCTTCGCTGCCAGACACTCCGAAGAGGTCTTTAGCAGCAGATTGGCCTGATGCGATGTGTTTGTTGGCATTTTCTACAAGCATGGAGGGTAGACCCAACAAAAGCAAAATCCCTGACGTCAATCTCTTCTGTTGATCACGATGCTGCTTCTTACATCAGGTGTGAAGCTCTGTCCCCAGGCCTGTTTCAACGATGCCATTGCGTCTACACAGGTTCACTAGGCAAGGGGAGCCCCAGGGAGGGGACGTGTTGGCGTGTGCCCCACTTGGCTCACGTGCCAGTGTTACTCGGGGTGACTAGGAGTTGCACCTGACGTGGCAGCACCGAACAAAAACGAGGATGTTCCAGGCACCTGCGCCGTGGCCACTCGCAAGATGGAGGTTGGCTTCTGGTGGATGGAGGCAAGGTGGGGGTAGTACGTTTTAGAACAGTGTCGTCAGCGACTGGCCGCATGAGGCTCTGGGGCACTGGAGCTTTGACCACTCCCATCTGAGACGCATGCTAAGGACAAAATACAGGTCAGGGTCCTGCCGCCCCAAGGTGAAAAATCTCTTATTGATAATGTTTGTAGCAAGTGTGAACCAGCTATTTTAGGTATATGAGAGTTAAATTAAAAAAAAAACTTTTTTGTGAAAAAAATAGTTAGCATTTAACTAAAGTCACCTGTTTCTTTTGCCCTTTTAAATGTGGATCCCAGGATTGTTGACATTTTACGTGCATCGTTCCATGTTTGTGTGGAAGAGCGGTGCTCTTCCAGAATGCATCACCCGGCTGGCATGTGCAATGGGAATAAGGAGCGTCCATTGTAAACGACTCTGTCTAGGCAGACCTCCCGGGGAGGGTGACAGCTGACCAAGACTATGCACACCTAGGGAAAAGAGTGCTTCAGGGAGAGGGGTTGGTGAGTGGGACGACCCTGAGGGAGGAACGTGCCTGGCACATCTGAGGAGCAGAGAAGCCAGGAGGTTGGAATCGAGTAGCCAAGAGGGGTTGGAAGCATCTGGGCAGCCTGGTCTGTGGCGTCTTGTAAGGCCATTGTATGCGCTTCGGCTTTTACTCAGAATAAAGGCGGAGACATGGGTGGGTCTGTGTTTCAACAGGCTCCTCGGGTGGGGGTGCATGGAAATACCCAGTTGCTGGTGTGTGGCTGAGGTGAGTTCACAGACGTGAGCGCCGGCTCTGGCTAAGTATGAGCCTGGCCAATGAGCACTTGCTAGACCAACCGCTCCATGGCGACCAACTGGACCAACAGGACTAGAACTCGATCCTGGTCTTGGTCAGAGCACAGCCTTGGTCAGAGCTCAGTCTGCGAACGCGCATGGGCCGGAAAGCAGTGAACTACACCCCACCCCACCGCACCCCCAAGCCAGCTGTGAACACCACCAAAGATCGGCCCTTCTTCACAGCCTCTCTAGAACGAGTGCTGGAGTCGGAGATGCGTTTCCAAGGACGGTGGCAGGCAGCCAGGCAGGAAGCTGCTCCATTACTCCCTATCTACAAGCCTTCAATTACCATTCCTCCCTGACCAGTTCTAGGCTCCCAGCACCCATTGCAGGGTCCCCAGGAGTTAACTTCGCCTTCCTCTCCAGCCTCAACCCCCTGCGTTCCACTTCCACGCCTTCACCACTACCCCTTCTGTGTGGGATGCTCTCCTCAGCCCCTGGCATGTGCCCCTCCGTGGGCCCCAGAGTCTACTGCTCGCCCAGCAGGAGATGCACCCATCCCACCGTCACAGATGTCCGCTTGTCTGCGCCTCCCCACCTGCTTGCCCCACGGGCCCCTTTGGGGGTGGAGCCGTGTCTGACTCAGCAGGCTCCTGGGCCTAGCACCAAGACTGGCCCAATGAGCATGGCTAGCAGGACCCCGAGGACAAAGTATTGCTCATGTCTCTCAAAGACAGCTTTTACCTCACCTGAGACGGGACAGAGGAGGGGTGGTGCCGTAAGGCGGGCAGGTCAGAGCGATGGATCTCTCCTGCAGAAGTTCAAGGAACTCCAAGACTCGCGATGGAAGACTGAGTTTGCCTGCTAGTCACAGCCCCTTCCCACTCCCTGCCTATGATCACGGCTAGTCACAGCTCAGAAACAGACAGCAGCTCCCTGCACCATTCACCCACCTGCATCACGTGGCTCTGGAAGGCACCTTGACACTAAGGTCGATGGCTCCCCTTTCAGGAAAGGTCCCTCCTGTCTTCCCACTCATGTCCAGAACCCCCATGCTACATCAAGGCCAGCAGTAGACCAGCTACACTCAGATCCAGCCCGGCTAGACACAGACTCTATCCTCAACACACTGAGGTGGGTCACCCCATGTCCTAGACGCCTGAGGCCACTCTACCAGGCCAAAGACAAATGCCAGCTCCCCCAAGGGAGGGGGGAAAGAGGTGGGGGAGGGGGGAAGGCTGGAACAAGGATTCAATGAGAAAGAGAAACAGGAGTAGATTTTGAGATCAGAATTAAAATCTTTAATACAAAACGCTTTTTTCTTTTTAAGATATATTTGTATTTCTTGTTGCTGTTTAAAAATAAATATGTACTACGGAATATCTCGAAAAACTGCACTAGAGACAAAGACGAGATGTTAATATCTTTCCCCCCCCCACAATTATTACGGACAAACAGTAGCACCAATAAATAAATGATACAAATATTAAAATTAAAAAAGGAACGAGATTTAGTATGTAGAATCCTCTATTTTTTGTTGTTTTTACATATAAAAAAAAACAGAATAGCGGTATCTATTTTTATCAGAATCACATATATACATAAACATATATATGTATATATACAAAATAGCCAAATATATATATATAGTATGTAGATGTATATTGAAACCTTATTTCAAAGGAATGTGTGGTGGGGGCTGGGGAAATGAAATGGGCAGAGCTGAGTGTTAGCAAAATTAAATATCTGCTCAGGACATGCTGCAAGTATCTGTCGCCGATCGGGGCAGAGAGAGATTGGAAACATGAATTTCATACACAAAAACCGGTACAAATAAGAGAGCGAGAGAACGAGCGAAAGAGCCGGAGAGCGAGATACATCTCATAAATAGTTGAAATTAAATATTAAACCAAGAATACTGAAAAAAGCCCTAGTCTTTAATTAAATTAACAGTTTTAATTTCTAATTAAAAAGGGTCATTAAATAAGTACCGTATATAAAACTTGCTCTTCTGCCTCTGTGATGGGTCCGTGGGTCCTGCCCTGCCCTGCCTCTCTCTAGGCCAAGGGACGGGGCGGTTCAGGGGCCAGAGGAGGGTCAGCCACTCACACACTCAGCCAGGACCCCCTTCCCGCCCCCCCCTGCAGGGGAGTGGGGGGGAGGGCAGAACTAGTGGTTTTAGTGGTCTGAGGACACCAGGCTTTCCTGGATTGCACCCCAAACTGGGGAGCAGAGCAGGGGGGGGGGCCAAGACAGAAGGCCCGAGGTCCTTCCCTCTGGGGATGAGGGTTGGTTCCCAGGAGGAGGGGCTGACCGGGGGCTGCTCTTCTCGTACCCACCCCCCACCCCACCCTCATCCCCTTGTCTTCTCCAGGATGTCTGGGGCCTCCGTGGGCATCTCGGACGCAGGCAGGCTCGAGAGGTGAGACTGGGTGGGGGCCATCCGGTGAAGGCTCTTGAACGTTCCAGACAGTGCCCCAGGAGGGCAAGGTGCCCGTGCAAGGTGTGGAGGGGATCCCCAAGCGCAGCAATGTCCTGAGGTGCCCTCAACTCCTGGTCATAAGCCAACCTTCTTGTCCCTGTACTTGCCATCTGTCTTTCTGTCCATTGACTCAGGGTAGTTGGCTTGGGGCCGGGCCTGGGTTTGTCAGTATTCCCGAAAGCAGACCAGATTTGCCCCCAGGCCCTGGCCCTGCACCTTTTCCAAAGAGGGATTTGAGAGGTCGTTCTCCCTCCTCCCACTCAAGTCCACAGCAGTCAGATACATCCAGTGAAGACACCAATAACATTAGCAATGTTAATTTAAAAAAAGAATATATATATTTTATAGCTGTATAAAATATATATATATTTTATATATATGTATATATACATGTATATGTATATATATATATGTGGGGTGTGTCTACAGGAATCCCAGAAATAAAACTCTCTACTCTTCTGGGCTCGGTGATTTAAGCAGCAAAAAAAAAAAAAAGAAGAAAGAAAAAATGGCGATCCAATTTCAAGAGGGACCGAGCTTGGTCACCCGCCCGGGAATGCTTCTGCGAATGCTTCCCCGGAGTCTCGCGCTCCGGACCCAAAGTGCTGTCTGTGCGCAGTCTCCTCTTCCTTCATGGCGGGTTTCTGGATTAAGGATTGCTTTGTCGGTGATGACGGTGGTGGTGGCAGCTGTGCGGTTTCTGGGGCATTCTGTATCAATCTTTCCACGTGAGAGGTCTGGTTCCTGAAACCCTGAGGGAGGCTCTCCCTTCCATCCCGGCTCACCGCCTTGGCTTGTCACATCTGAGGGAGACAGAGGCTGGGGGTTAGAGCCCAAGAGGAGGCCTGGCGTGGCACGCAGCACCCTCCTCCCCCTCCCCTCCTGCCAGGTCTGTGGCCTGTGCTGCAGAGCCACAGGGAGCCCCGAGTCTGAGGAGTCTGAGGCAAGAGTCAGGGCTTCCATGATACCTGGGAAGCCACCGCACCTGCCCGCTACAGCTTACAATCTAGTACAGACGAGACTAGAACGTGGGACTTTTCACAGAGCAACAAACAGCAAGGACCAAAGAGCAGCCCCTCCTGAACATCCTGGAGCCCGGGGAGTGAGGGGGGTGCTGTCCCCTCACTCCATTGGACGCAGCAGGGGGAGGTGGAGGGAGTCCAGGCCCCAGAAAGCTGAGGGCCTTGTCCCCCATTCTGAGCCCTCCCCCTGCCTCCCTTCTCTTGAGTTAGTGGCAGCAGCAGGCCAGGCGGGTGCCCTGCGCTTTCCTTTCTCCGATGTTGATTTTAGGGTGGGGGGAGAGAACAGGATGCTGGTGACAGCGCAGCCCTCCAATGACTTTCTCACAGCGCCGCTGCCCCCAGGCTGGCCTCCGGGACCCTCCCCGCTCCCCATGGTGAAGAGGCAGCAGAGACCTCCCTTTGTAAAGTCTGGGAATGGGACCTTGGGTTTGGGGGGGGGGGGCAGGAGGCAGGGAGTTTGAAATTCCTAGATACAGTCCGACTGAGGACTTGGTGAGCACTTTGGCAGTTAGGGTGACCAGCTAGCTCCGGGGTCACTTCAAGCATTCCCCCATCCTGCACAGCCTCTTGCAGAATAGTCGACAGGCGAATGCCTTTCGTCCAGCCCTGGAGGTGTGCAGTCCCCCTGGCTCTCAGTATGAACAAACACTGCCAGCCTTCACGTAGCACCAAGACTCACCAACAACCTGGGCTGGGTCCCCTGAGCACCACAAGCCCCAAGACCGCTGGCGAGGGGCGAGTTGGGCAGTTGTGCCCCCAGGGTTTTGTGAATGGGGTGTCTGGACAATCTGCAAGGAGCCTGGCCCCACCTGGAGGTGGGGGGAGGCCTAAAAGCCCCTCTTCCTGGGGGAAAGCTCACCCTGGCCCAGAGGACAGACCAGTCCAGGCATCAAAAGACAACTGGCCACCTAGCAAGCCCTCTGCTTCCAATCTCACCCCCTTCAACTCAGCCAGCTGCGTTCAACACCTCCCCGGCCCCACCTCGGACAAGGGACAGTCACAAAGGGGACAATACCAGGCCTGGTTCTAAGGAGTTGATGCACGAATATTAGTACCGTGGGCCTGGCCCCCTCCCCCATCCACCCTGGGAGAGACATGGGGCCATCCGTCACCACAACAGGCCGAGGACTAGAAGTAGCCAGCATCCGTTCATCACTGGATGCTACATCTTCGGCAACATCGGAAGACCTCCCTCCCCTTAACCCGAGAGCCCGAACCCGTGCCTCTCAGGCTCCCCGGCCAGGGACCTCCGTGAACTGCAGCGTTCTGCACACCTGGCCGGGCTCCCAGGATGAGTAGTGGTCAGAACCAGGACCTCAGGACCAACAGCCGCCACTCATAGTAGGACCACAGGACACAACACACAGCCGGCGTCCACACCACTACATGAAGCCACACCAGCCTACCCACTCGGGCAACCAGGGCCACCTCTGGAGGGGCGCCGCCAGGCTGGACCACCGTCCAGGGCCCACCACAGGGGCCTTGCAAGCAAGAGATGGTCGTGATGACCAGGCAGGCAGGCAGAAGCCAAGCAAGCGGCCGGCCCCTCTCGGGCACGCATGCGGTCTCCCTCCTCCTCTCCCCATTCTCTGCGTGAGGCTCCTCCTCTCTGACTTGCTCGCTCATCCTCCAGGAACCAACCTGCAAGTACGTTCGTTTAACTCAAGCTGCCTCGCCTTGCAACGTGAGTCTGTGTTTTTGCAGGAACATTTACACGTCTGCGGATCTTGTACAAACAAATGCTTTCTCCGCTCTGAGCAAGGCCCACAGGGACTGCAAAAAGGCAAAAGGAAAGACATCTAAGCTACAGCGTCAGCAGAGAGAGAGGGGAAAAATAAAACAAAACAAAAAAAAAACACCACCATGCAACACCCCCTGACATGTCTGAGGCCGCGCCGCGCCCCGCCCCGCCCGGCTCCGTGGCCCTCGCGCCCTTCTGCGCCCCAGAAGGATGTGAACCCCGCAGTGGAAGACAGAGCGCGCGGCGACAGAGGCAGCACTGGCTAGGAGACCTGCCCGCAGGAAGAGATGGGCACACACGGGCAGGACGCAGGATTCTAGAAGGCCGCCAGAGGGGCAGTCCTGGGCTTCATGGGCACCGGTGTGGGGGGGGGGGCGCCCCTCCGGCCACAGGGCGCCAACTGCTGCCACCCTGGAAAAGCACCCATGACTCTTCACTGGTGGGCGACAGCATGTAGGGAACCAGAGACTTCCAGAGACCACCTCCTCATTGTGTAGAAGTTATGCTCAGGCCCCCTTACAAGAGGTGAGCAGGATGGGAGGCCAGGCCCAGGGCAGGACCCCCCCACAGCCACCAGCCCAGGGAAGAGCAGCCCCACAGGAAGCTGTCTGCAGTGCCGTGGGTTAGGTTGGGATGGGATGGGTAGCTCTCCTACAGAGGCCCCAAGTCCAGGAGAAGCTGAGGTGCCGCCCCCAAAGGAGGATTCGCCGCCGTGGGGAGGGGGGCCTTGGCCCTGCCAGCCTCCTCCTCCGGCCGGCAACACGCTCATTTGCACCCCCCTTCCTCACGCCACACTTCCCTACCCCACCCGCCTCAGCTTCCAGACAAGTGCAGAAGTCTAGAGCAGTGGAAACCAGTTGGCCAAGCGGGCACCCGTGCCCAGCATCCATACCCACATGGGCCCGCCACCAGCGCCCAGTGGGTGAGAGAAAGTCGGTGCCCAGCCAAGCCAGAGTTCCCTCCCCGAATCTTCCAGGCCCACTCTACCCAACCTCAGCCCCACTGTGGACCAACCACGCCACAGCATCTACCCAGTGGTGCTAATTAGTGAGAGAGAGAGAGAGAGAGACTGGGGCCGGGGGTGGGGAGGACGGGTGGCCGAGCAGCAAGGTTAGAGGATGCTATAGGCGGGAGCTCGATTGAGGGCCCGGGAGGTGCCAGGGAATTAGTTAAGACAGCGGCGGGCACCGACGTACAGGCTCCAGGATTTATACCGGGATTTCTTGCGCTTTCGTTTTTGCCCCTTGCCCTTTCCTGGAACTGATTTTCTGGAAAATAAAAACAGAGACAGACAGAAAGACAGCGAGGGGAAGTGGGGAGGAAGAGAAGTGCTGGGTGGGCAGGACGAGGGTGGGGGTGAAAAAGCAACCAAGTCTGCATGGCGGGCTCCCAGGAGCAGAACTCCTGACGGGATGGCTCACCCACCCGACTCAGCGTCTCCTCCTCAGTCCAGCCGGGCCTGGGTAGAGGGCACCGGACCAGAGGGCCTCCCTGCTTGTGGTGACAGCTGGTCCCAGGCAGAGCAAAGTCCCAAGGGCAGGCTTATTCCCAGCACCCAGGGGGCCGTGGGAGGTGGAAGCCCCGAGGATGGGGCAGTCAGAGACCTGACTTGACATGGTGGGGGTGGGACCGTGCCTAGACGCCTCCATTTCCACATACGATCGCAAGGAGACCCTTCCAGGGGCCCTGCCTTTGGGGATCACAGCTTAGGGGAACAGCTACACTGGCTGCTGCTGGCACAAGACCAAGGGCGGCACATGAAAGGTGCCAGCCGGCCCAGTCATAACCGAGGCTGGGGAGGCGGGGCCGGGTGTCGTCAACACTGCAGCCGGAGCCCCAGGGTGGGGTGGGAGCCGGACACGCAGGCACACACGGGGAGGAGGGGCCAGGATGTCACCTGGGAGCAAGTCCTCTCCTCAGCCCATCAAAGCCTGCTACACCATCTCCCCAGACTCTCTCCCGAGCCCTGGCGAGCCCCCTGCTCTACCCGTGAGCAAAGCGGGCATCTGGGGAACAGGCAAGGAGACAGGCTGTATCCTGTCCCCCTCAAGGGAGCCAGCGCTCTCCACACATGCTGGTCCAAAGGAAGATGCCAACATGGGGAGGGGCGAGGTGGGCGGGCAGAAAGGGACCCCGGAGAGGGATGCGTCTAGCTTCCTGGCAGGAGAAAGCACTGGAAGGGTTGGGGAGGGGGGGTGTCTAGACACACACACACACGTTCACTCACTCACTCAATCTTACTCTCTTTCTCTCTCTCTCTCTGAGCCAAATCATTGCTCTGGTAGGTAGCCACAGTGATCCTGGAAGTAGAACACTAAGGGAAGGAGGGGTCACGGGCTGAAGCCTCCGGGGACACGGGTGCGCCCAGAGTGCTGGGGCCAGACAGGGTGAAGGGAAGGGCAGGGAAGAGGGAAGGGCACAGTTGCTCTCTCTCGGTCTCTTTTCACAGCCAGTTCATAACGGAAGGTAGCTGTTTACCTGCCTTACAGGCTTACTGCCCCCACCCCCTGCCCCAGCCTGACCCTCAGTGGCTGGGCATTAGAAAGCGGTCTCAGAAAGATGACCTCCACAGCCCCAAGGGCCGTGGGTCTCCCTCGAGCCCCACTACTGCTGCAGGCAGTCACAGAGACACGTCCCAGCCCAGCCGGCTCACTGCACCCCCAACAAAAGCCACCCTAAGAGCCCCCCTCCTCGGACACACAGAGCTGGCCTCTCTGCCACCACGCTCCAGCCCCCTCCTGCCCCTCAACACACCAAGACAGCAAGCTGCGGCCAAGAATGGCACTGAGGCCTGTTGGGCAGCTTCTCTGTCCCAGGCCGCCCCAGGCTGGTGGTCACTCATCTTGGAGCCTATTCCTGAAGTCCGAGCCATCCCACTGCTGACCCCACAAGCCCCGCGCAGACCCGCTCCTTGGCCCAGGGAGGCCACCAGAACCCCTGCTAGGCGGCCGAGCGTCCTAAACCAAAGCCAAGGATATGGAGGCGTGCCGGTGTCGCTGCGACTTACTTTTCTTGTTTCGCTCTTTCTTTCTTTGGTCTGCAGAGAGTTGGGGGGGGTGGAGGGGAGTGGGGGAGAACAAAACAGAGCGTGGAGTTAAGCCGGTGATCATGGCGATCACTGATCATTACTGCTGCTGTGGTCAGCTGTCCAGCGGGGGACCCCACGACACAGCAGAGCAGAATTGCCCCCACAGGCTTTCTTGGCTGTCATCTTTGCAGAAGCACCCACTGTGCCAGGCCTTTGCTCATAGAACCCTCCTCCCCCCGGGTGGGTTCAAACTGCCAAGCTTCCTGTGCAGCAGGTAAGTGCGAACTTCACGCACTATTTATGACCATGACCCAGCAGTTTTAAGAATCTCTTGCGTACAATGATCCACAGAATCCCTCCCACAGCACTGTGGGGTACCGTGTCCAACCCCAGCAAGGCGCAGGCCCCTGGAGGGCACGTCCAGAGGGCTCCCCAAGCCTCACCTGCATTCACATGTCCTGTGCTGGAGGAAGCTCATCTCTCCTATATGCTGGCCTTGGTGAGGCTTGATGCGCATGATCTGGGGGAAGGTAGCAGATCACAGAGGTTAGTGACCCAGCCAGCCATACCCAGATGGGACACCCCTGAAGCTCCTGCCACTCAATGCCCAGGAGGGTGGTCTACAGAGCAGGGGTGAGTGGGGGAAGTAGGGTGGGACCAGAAGCTCAACTGAGAAGAGTCTCAGGTCCCACACCAGCTCCCCCAACCCTGCTGATCTTGGGGCTCCTCCTGAGAGCTGAAATGACTTCAAGGGTTGGCCAGGCTGGGATTCGAGTCCTGGTTTGCACCACTCACCATCCCCTCCCCCCCTTCCATCTCCGAGAGGCTCCCCCTATCCCACCCCCGACCCCCTGCCTTCCCCAAGCAGCTACCCAAGAGCCAGCCCCTCTCTGGTTATCTCCAAGTTCCCACCAGCCCCATCAAAGCTGAGAAACCCCCATTCGCCAGGCAACACCAAAGGCTGGCTCACCCAGCTTCCAAGAGAGGGAGACAGAGGCTCCTGTCACAGTTGCTAGTCCCCTCTTCCCCCCACCCCACCCCCCAGCCCCCGAGCCCAGGGACGTAAGACCAGGAGGACTTGCTGGGAACCTGGACCACGCAAGCATCTTGTCC